GCATGGCTCACAGGATCGCGCTGTCTCCTGGCAGGCCGCTCAGACCCGTCGCCATCTTTTTCTGGAAGCAGTTTTTCCTGAAATTTCTGGCAGAGATTTTATTTTGGTGCCTGTAAGTTCTAAGAAGCAGGTAACTTTCCCCAATTCCTTGAGTGTCTTACTGTTTTGTAGACTCTTGATGGGTTGGAAAGCTTGTCTATCAAGTTTCTCTTTTTCATTTTACATGTAAAACAATACTACACCTCAACCTTTGTAGCTCCCCTAAGAGCTTGCAGTCATTTTGTGAGTTATAATTTTAAAAATAGCCATCACTCTTTATGACATATCTCTGAGACAGGAAAAGATATCTCTAAGAAAATAAACGCTGAGGTCCGCCTATGATATTCTCAGCAACATTAGCATATGTTCAGCAGTAATGCTGCTGCTATTGATCATGAAGACAGGTATTCTGTGGGGGCAGTAAGAATGCTTCCATTTCAGCTCATTTCACTTTTGGAGTTTATTTGTTACTTGGCTCATACAGCTTATTAAATATTTGGTCATCACTTTCAGAAAGCATGCCTGCCTTAGCTCCACACACCAAAGCAAGGCTGTCACACTGTCCTCTAACGGGCAAAGAAGCTGAAGAGGAGAGAGGCTGAGAAGTCATTGATGAAACAGCAAGCTCCATCCCTGAGCTCCTAAAGCTCTGCTTGGCGCCAGAACTGTGTTCCTTGTCCTCAGCTTGAACACAAGACAGGAAAGGAAAATTTAGTTACCTGTAATGTGTGAGAGGAGAAAGAGGATGCCTTTAGTTTTGAATTGCTCAGCTCAGTGCACGATTTCCTCTGGCAGTTCCTGGAAGGCAGCATCTTCCTCACCCAGGGAATGTTCTATCTTACTGTGCTGTAAGGGTCACCACAAAAAGTTCGTAGCCATTTGGGCTTCAGAGAATTGTAGCTTCCCAGAGACCATCACTGAGAGTATAAAACATGGCTAAGTGTGGTTTTATGGGACAGAGGTGGGAATGGAGAGTGACTGCAAATGGGCATGAGGAATTATTTTGGTTTGGTGAAAATGTTCTAAAATTAGATTATGGTGATCGTTGCACAGGTCTAAAAATAGACTAAAACCATTGGATTGTACCCTTAAAGTGAGTGAATTTTGTAGTTTATGAATTATACCACAATAAAGCTGATAAAAATACCTGAAATTTGGGATGTTTTGAAAGGAACCACATTTCCACCATCTGGACACTATATCTAGGCAATGTAGCACTGCACAGGACAGTGTCATTCCCTCACCTGTGTGGAAGTGAGCAGGGAAAGCACGGGGGAGGAGCGGAGGAGATGGGGTGAGCTGAGTGTGCCACAGGGACGATGCCTGTGACTACAATGTGAGCAGAATGACACCACCTTTGTGATGATGACAACTTGAACTAGCTCCTCTTCTGGGGTTTGAAGCCTCAACCTCTGAATCACCCTAACTCTTTCATTAGGTTGACAACGATACTTCATAGCCAGAAATCTTACCTTAAAATCCTATCCACCCATATAGACTGTCTTTAAATTATTTGATTAAATGTGCTGTGCAGATCTGGGCAAATATACATATATTAAAAAATCTTTGTGTATAACATCAATATGACTAAGTAGCTTGATTATTTTTTTGCTTCCCCTGAATACTTCCCCCAGAAAATATTTAATGTGACAAATTTGTAAAAACATCTCCAGCCTCTTAATTATTTTTTGTGATACTTTCTGAATTCCTGAACAGAGGCAACTAAGCTTTCAGTGTTTGATTTACTGAAAAGGTTGGTTGGTTTTGCTTATATTGTTGAGACTTGAGATAAAGCTGCAGGACTCCCTCAGTAACTGGAGCTCAGGAAACAATTGACACTGTTTCTTAATTCGCATTGTTTCTGAGACATTTCCTACTTCCTAGCATAATATAGCTTTCCCATGAGAATAATTTGCTTGCAGATGGTTAGACATGATAAATTCCTCATTGGCTCACTTCTTTTGGGAGAATTTCCCTGTGCTTTGTAGTAGCTGAGGTGCTGTGTGTGTCTGTATATGTGTATTTGGGCAGGAGGGTCCCACTTTGTGGAGAGATACCTCCAACTTCATTCCAAGCATCAGGTATTTTGTTTTGAATGTTAACCCATTCACTTAGGCTCTGCATTCCTTAGTTGGAATCTCTTTCTTGAAGGAACATATAATCCTTTTAACCTTGCCAATTTAAGGAAACACCCCTGTAAATTATGGTGTTTTTAGATATGCCAGATGAGTTTCTGTGGAAAGTAGTTCACGGTGGTTTATATCAGACATGCTGTATGCACGTTTATTTGCATGTAGGTACATGATATTAAAGTGTCACTGTAAAGTTGTCATCAAGGAATAATTCCAGAAACAGGAAATGAAACCCATAGATGAGATAATCTAATCTAATTTGCAGTACAAAAAAAGTGTTCGTATTTTTTTCTGTAATGGTGGTTCCTATGTTTAGAAGTTATCCTGCATATAAAGTGAAAGTAAAAGTTTCCAATTAAAAAAAATGTGAAAGTTTGAGTTCCTTTTTTTTTTGTCTTATTAGATTTTGTAAAAATAATACCACTTGTCAGTTTTGCAGCTCCTTCCATCTAGAGAACTGAAAGCATTTCACAATCTTTTTCCTCATGCCCTTCTCTTCAAGGCAATTTTTGCTGCGCTGAATTTATTTTTATCATTGCAACAACCAGTTTTTAGAAACTTTCAGAAATGAAAAAAGAAAAATGAGAATGACAATGTAGCTGACATTCATTTTAGCTGTTTCCTAGTGTGAACATTTGAGTATTTCTAAAAATCTTCTCTCCAAGTATGTCTTATTTTTCTCAGTTTGTCCCAGTTCTATGTCTTTATTCTGATGATTGGGTAAAAGAAAAGTTTTAATGTAAAACCTTATCCCCACCAAAATGGCTTTTTGAACTTAGAGTTAGACCTTTATTTTTGCAGCTCCAACAGCTCTTTCTCCTTTCCGTATAATCATAGGCTCATGGAAGGGTAGGACTGGAAGGGCCTCTAGGGATTACCCAATTTAAGCTTCTCATTATATAAATGATGAGGTTGAGGCCCAGAGGGATTAAGGGACATGCTCAAGGCTATATAGCAAATTGATGGCAGAGGTATGACTAGAATCAAGGATTTCTGATTTCCAGTTTGGTATTCTTTGGTTTTCCCAAAAAAGTTTTATGTCTGCACAGACTGGAGTATACCCTCAGGGAATCCTGGTGCCAGCCAACAGGTTGAATTATACTATAGTTGACTGAAAATTGAAAGGAAGTTTTATTTTCCTGGTTTGAATTTGTCAAATGTAGAATGGTGATGTTGAATTCATAGACGTTTTCTTCTGACCTGTGGAACTTGTGCCATTTATATGCAGTGGAGAATGTGATTTGACATGACTGGTGATTTGTGTTCCTTCCTTAGGCCACCACACCATCTACATCGGGGTCCATGTGCCAAAGAGCTACAGGAGAAGGAGGCGTCACAAGAGAAAGACAGGGCACAAAGAAAAGAAGGAAAAGGAGAGAATCTCTGAGAACTATTCTGACAAATCAGATGTGGAAAACGCAGATGAATCCGGCAGCAGTATCCTAAAACCTCTCAGTGAGTACTCCCTGGGTGTTGGTGCCTCTCTCTGCCTCACTCCCACATCCTTGGGAAAGACACTTTTTACAATCTTATGGCTACTGGGGAGGGGCACCTTGTACTGGGATAATGTGTATGGAGATGCTTCCCTTGTAGGTTGATCTAGGAGATCTTCTGATAAGATTCTGAGTTGATCAGAAGAGATATGACAAAGTTTAGGCATAGTTGTGTATTCTACATTTTGATGAGTGAAATGGGCAGAGGGTTAGAGATGGCATTTAACTATAGTAATCAACAGTAACTGGAAGACTCTTAAATAACTTTTTGGATTGTTTCTGCTTAGAAGTAAGTTTTACTGAGACAGTAGGTTAAGGTGAAAGCGTATGCATATATATTTATATATCTTTCCATATGATGATGGCGTTATAGATGACATTTAACCAAGTTGAGGCCAAGCCAGTGATTGAAAAGAGTCATGGGAAAACATCCTGTAAGTCAGGGAAGAATGTAAAGTGACACAGTTCTTGAAATGTAGGACAGATTAGATATCATACTTTGGATAAAAGTGTTATCAAGGACAGAATAGCAGGAGGTCAAATAACACCCTTGGATTTAAGGGATAGGGTGGACTGTGTGTTTAGGTGCATGTTTATGTTGCTTTTTGTTTCTTTTAATGTGAGAATATTTGGCTGCACGGGCAGCCTTGTGGCTGAAGTGAGAATGAATACTTGCGGGAGAAACACATGCCACTTTTGGGAGATTCCCCAACAGGAGTTACACAGTGACAGCTTGTCATGTTGGCAGAACTCTGTACGTTCGTCATCTCTTTGCTACAGTTGCAGAAATACGGACCCTGCAATAAAATGCATTATGGGTGGCACAGATCAAGATCAAGTCCAGTCATTGCAGGTGATGACAGGCCAAATTAGAATGAACAGCTCAGGGATGTTGAAAAGGGAATTTACAGAGTTAAATTTAAGAGGGTGTGAGGGCAGTGATGTGAATCGTTTATAGTCTCACCATTGGAACCGAGCAGGTGGCTTAGGAAGCTAGACAAGTACCATGCTGCAAGGAGCAAGACAGATGGACCTCTGAATTAAAGATAAGAGGTTAGAGGGGAGTTTGGAGATGGACCATGAAATTGCAATTAAATGGTGTTGGAATAAATGTAAGACTTAGAATGGACGAAAGGGCAGGAGACTAAGTCATGTACTTTTCATTGGAATGTAGGAGAGCTTTTCTGAGGGGTTTCTTCACATGTTGACTAAAATAATGGAATCTGTTTCCAGCAGAGTTCTTGAAATATGCATAAAAAAGATCACAGATAATAGTCTGGAGGAGCAAAAGATAACATCCCTTTCCAAATAAATTACTATGTTTATCTCGATTTGCTATCTGTTTTGGCAAGTCCTGAGCCAGTATCAATGAGGTGCTCTCCCCAGTGTGCATGTGATCTCTCTCTCTTTTTCTTACTCTGTGTCTTTCTTATAACTCATCTCTCATTCTGCAATTTAAGAACAAGAGTGTATCATCACTATAAATATTAAAAAGGAAAGAGATGCTCACTTAGTCAAATAGGCCAAGGGATTTTGAGATGATAATTTTGTGTAGCTTTTTAGGAAGGGTAGTGGAAACAGTGGCCCTAACACTTGGATAGGTAATAAAGAATGAACACATCAGAGAGATGCTGAGGCTGCATGTGTATCAACCATGGAATACTGTTGCTTTCTGTGGCATTAGGGGACCAGTTTGAGTATAGCATGTAAAATAAACAAGGCAATTCATTCTCTTTCCCCTCAGATGTCTCCTCCTAGGGGGATACTGCATTATGCTGAATTCTGGGTTTCTGAAGGGATCCTATGGAGAGACAGTTGTTAAGGACCCAACTGTTCAATGATCATAAGGAAATTATTTATAAATTTCCATTTTATAGTTAGTTATTTTTTTCTTCCTGTTGGTCAGCAACGTGTACAGTAATATGCCTTTCACATCAATGTGAATCATCCAATTTGACATGATGGTCCTTTTAGAAATTACCATATTTTCTCTGCTGCTTAGGATGGATTGGTAGTCGGTTATCTGGTGCAATTTTCTTTAAAAGTAAGAATGGTTGCACCCAAATGTAGAAAGACATTTAACCCCATGATTCAGGGAAAGCCACGGGGCTCTGGCACCAACACGACAATAAAATTTTTATGGAAAACCTCACTTACTGAAACATCTGCCTAGTGTACCATTATTGTCTCTCAAGAGTAGCCACATACAGTTTCTGTTATTCTTGATCTAGGGTGTTTGAATTACTTGTGTCTGTAGACATATCATGTTCCATAGACAAGATTCCCACAAGTGCCTGGCAGTGCATCATGTGATGTTTATAACTTCTGGAAAAAAAACCCCAAATCCACATATAAATAGGAACTTGGTGAGAGTCATCTTTGATTCTTTCCTTGCTCTCACCTCCATATGCATTCCTTTAAAGACTTCTGTTGGTTCGACTTCTAAAATATGTCTGAATCTGTTTCCTTTTTTTCAGTTTTGCTGCAACATTTTGGTCCAGGGAATCGTCTCTTGCTTAGATAACTGCAGCAGCTTCTGCTTTTCAAGTCTTTCTTCATACAAAGACAACACTGATAATCATAAAATGTGAATGGGTTATGTCTTTGCTCTGCTGGGGGAAATTGCCCTTAGAATAAAATCTTTCTGGGCATAAAATCTCAGTTGGGTATCGTGGCCCACTGTCTCTCTCCAGTCCTGTGATGTGCCATTCTCTCCTTGTTCATTTTACTCCAACCCACTGAAGTTTTAGTCCCTTGGTGCCAAAATCTTTTCTGCTTCAGGGCCTTTGCACATGCAAGTCTGTTTTTCTAAAATGGTCACCTCATTCTTGTCCTAGTTAGCTTTTCTCTTCCTTTATATTCCAGCTTTTAAATTTTACCTTTTCAGAGAGGTTTTTCCTTGCTACACTATCTAATGCAGGTTGTCCTGTGTTATTCCTTCACAGCTCCTTATTGTCTCCTTCATAATACATGTTTTAACTTGAGTTTGTGAGCCTACAGTTTTGTCCTGAGCTGATGCTAGATTGTAAGTTCCATGAGAGCAGGGATCAGGTTTGTCTTGTTCTCTGTATTATCTCTGGCACCTAGCACAATGCCTGGCACATAGTATGTGCTTAATACATGCTTATCAAAGAGTAATTGAAAGAGTGGTTTACTACACAGGAAAACATAGGCATTGCTTTCATTGGCTTAAATATTTCTCATGTTGTAGATAAAGATCTAGTGTATTTTCTTGTTTTTAAGCCTTGCACATCATCTTTATATTTCCGTGCCCTGCCTTTCTCCCTTGCCACATAAAATCTGGTCCTAACTTTTAATTATCCCACTTTGGAAAGTACCTCATTATTTCTGCTATTGCCAAAGTGGTATTTTGGTCTGGGTGGATGGCTCCTGAGTGGGTGGAGTTGCTTGTTACCCACAGGTAACAGGAGAAATTGATCCACAGGGCACATGGATTCATCTTGTGCACTTAAAAATGCTCACTATGCCACCCAGGACTCAGGTGGTTCCACTTCAGGAGCCACACGAGAGAAGCATGGAATTGAATAGTGAAGGGCATTTATGAGAAGAAATAAGCCAGGTAACTTCCAGTATTTAGGCACATCAGAAAGATGACATAATTAATGTGTTTATAACAGAGATGGTTATAACCATCATTTCATTTAGTTTATAACAGAGATGGTTTTTATTTTCTTCATGGCTTTGGTGTCGAGACAGGGTTTCTACAAAGTGAGTGTGTGTTTGATTCCTGCAGACTTGCAGCTGTGAGGAGGAAGCTGGCTAACTTCACATCCCCCTCTGAACTCGGCAGCCACTCCACGTCCTTGCATAGCTGCTATTCCCAGTGTGACGTCAGAGTTGGTGTCCCAGCTGGGGACACAGAGAAGGCAACGTATGTGAGAGTGTGGCACACTGGGCCACGGGGAGAGAGAGGCAGGGGAGGAAAAGTGAAATGTAGGAACAAGCAGGAGGAGAGACAAGGGAGTGAGGACGTGGTGTGGAGTGGGTGGTGGAGAGAAGAGTTAGACTGTGCTCTCTCTTAAAAATAATCCTTTTGCCTCCTCCACCATACTCCTTTTTTTTCCCCCTAAGTTAGCATCTGCCATCCTCTGAGGGTTGCCCAAAAAGTGGGCGGGAAGGTGGTCCTGGCTGAGCTTGGCTCTGGAAACAGCACGGCTTCCTTCCCTAGATGGTTTTGGCCTCTGCACGTCCCATCCTGTTAGTGTCCTGGGATATTTATGGGGGCATCACAGGCCACTTTGCGACTGCAGTCTGAAGAGGTGTAAGATGTTGGGAAACACAGCTATGAACAGAACATCCTGTTCAGCATATTGATCTGATGTGTAATGTATGTCTTGTCAAGCTTGAGCATACATCAGTGCTTGGAGGTGCTATCTGCCTCTCACACACAGGACTTGCTTGTTGTAGAATCATAGTGCTAGGTGTGTGTATCCAGACACTCATTCAGTCTTGTGGTATTCTTTTTTTTAGCTCTTTGGATGTGTACCAGGACTGGCAGATTTATGCTAGTGAACATTGTTCTGTGAGCCTGGGACAATGGATGCCAGTTGGTGATCCAGTTATATTCAGGAAATTGAAACAGAGAAATGGGCAGCTGCTTTTGTTTGGTGCTTCCGGGTGAATGAAAGAGTAGCTTTTCATAAGAGCCAAGAATATTTGGTGTTTTGTCATTTGACTTCCCTTTTCCCAGTGCACACCCCTGTGCCCTCCCCGAACCTGACCTCATACTTCTTGGTACATTTCTACTGTTTCTTGATTTTTTAAAAATGTTTTCAGGCAAAACCCTTAATTTTGATATCATAAAGTAAGATTTCTTTAATTTTCTATATGCCATTGGCATATCTTAAAAATCAGTGTACAAGAGAGAAGGGCATCTTTGGAATGTGTGAAATGAGGTAGATTTGTCCGTGTTTACAAAGCAAAACAAAACAACCCAAAAGA